GATCCAACAGACCTCACTACCTCTGAGGATGCTTGCCATAGATGCAGGCGAAACGTCAGGAGATAATGCCTCTAGAACATGGCCATATAGCCCGAAAAATTTTATAGCAACCTTATGATTTGCTTTTTTGGAAAAAAAAAGCAATCTGTACTGGTACATGGGGGTATGACAATTGATTCTGGACATCAGGAAATAAATAAATAGAGTTGGCCATCCACTTTTGCAGGTTTGATATTTGCTGTTTAATTACACAGGATAACAACAACAAATTCCTTGTTGTCTTGTTTTTTTTACACCTATTTTTGGAATTATTTGGGGCACTGATACAGAAAATTGCATTAATCACATCAGCTCTAGTTTCTTAAACCTGGACCATAAGGAAGGCTGAACGAAGGAAGATAGATGTTTTTGAACTGTGGTGTTGGAGGAAAATTCTGCGAGTGCCCTGGATAGCAAGAAGATCAAACCAGTCCATACTCCAGGAAGTAATGCCCGGCCATTTGCTGGAGGGAAGGACATTAGAGGCAAAGATGAAGTACTTTGGCCACATAATGAGAAGACAGGAAAGCTTGGAGAAGACAATGATGCTGGGGAAAATGGAGGGGAAAAGGAAGAGGGGCCGACCAAGGGCAAGATGGATGGATGGTATCTTTGAAGTCATTGGCTTGACCTTGAAGGAGCTGGGCGTGGTGATGGCTGATAGGGAGCTCTGGCATGGGCTAGTCCAGGAGGTCACGAATAAACAACAACATCATGGATTTTATGTGGGAGAGCAGATGGCAACTGGTAGATGGCATAGGTTATATATCTCAAAACCTAGAGCTGATAAAGGAAACAATTTTTGGAATCAGCAAGTCAAATGTGCCCCCTAACAGGGCTAACATGTAAAGCACCAAATCTATATGGTGCCAATGTCACAAAATAGATTAAAACATTCTTTCTAAGAAACTCAAGGTCCTCCAGTACAATTCTAGGGTTGTCTTCCAATAAAGCAGTGGTTATCAACTTGTGGGTCCCCCGTGTTTTGGCCCACAACTTCCAGAAATCCTAGCCACTTCACCAGCTGTTAGGATTTCTGGGAGTTGAAGACCAAAACATCTGGGGACCCACAGGTTGAGAACCACTGTTGTAAGCTAATATTCCAAAATTCTTACACCAATCTCATTGATATCTCATTTCACTAACAAGACACATGCCGATCCTGGACAGAAGCGGGACACCAGGCACTGAAAAGACATCACTTCAAACAATATTTTTAAGTCATTTCCAACATTTCCCTATTCAGAGGAGTCTTTTTCTGAGGCTGAGTGGGACTTGCTCAAGGTCACTCAGTGAGTTTTTATGGCTGAATGGAGACTCAAACCCTTATCTCCAATACTCAAAAATCATTCAAACAATTTATATATCTCAATTGGGGTGTCTGATTTATCTAAATTTCACAGTTATTTGAGGTTTGTTTCTTCTTTAGGCGATCCCTCGTAGCCCGAGGATGATGGTCCTCCAAGTCTGGCGTCTTGGCAGTAGGTTCGTAGGTGGCTGTGAAGCCCTATTCTTGATCCGCATGTTCTCTGGCAGTAAGAACATCAGTTTCCAAGTGAAAGGTGGTCCTGGTCACGGTTGACTTAACACGCCTTCCTCTTGGCACATTTCTCCCTTTCACCTTCAATTCGTTCCTCTTCAAATTCTGCAGCACTGCTGGTCACAGCTGACATCCAGTTAGAGTGCTCAAGTGTCAAGGGTCAGGGCTTCCCACTGTTCCCACAGCTTAAGGCTGGCCTTGAGCCCATCTTTAAATCTCTTTTCCTGTCCATCAATGTTACATTTCCCATTCTTGAGTTGGGAATATAGTAACTGCTTTGGGAGATGGTGATCCTGCATTCAGACAACGTGTCCAGTCCAGCAGAATTGATGGCATAGGAGCATTGCTTCAATGCTGGTGGTCTTTGCTTCTTCCAGCACGCTGGCATTTGTCCGCCTGTCTTCCCCAAGAGATTTGCAGGAATTTACAGTGGCAGCGCTGATGGAATCGTTCCAGGAGTTGACATCTGTAGACAATCCAGGTTTTGCAGGCGCATAGCAGGGTTGGGAGGACAGTAGCTTTATAAACAAGCACCTTGGTATCGCTATGGAAGTCCTGGTCCTCAAACACTCTCTGCTTCATTCGGAAAAATGCTGCACTCACAGAGCTCTGGCGGTATTGTATTTTGGTGACAATGTTGACTTTTGTAGAGAGATGGCTGCCAAGGCAGCGGAAATGTTCAACATTTTCTAATGTTACACCGTTGAGCTGTATTTCTGGCATTGTAGACGTATTGGCTGGTGACTGCTGGAAGAGTAGTTTGGTTTTCTTGATGTTCATGGCACAAGAACCTGGTAGCTCAAAGGACATTGCTACAGTACTTCCATTTGTTAGTCATCCTTCACACTCTTTCCGTCATGGGAAAGTCATCTAACTAGGAACAAAGCTCTAAGCATCCTCCAAACACATTTTGGACTGCTGATGACAAAGATGATCTTTGCAGGAATGGGCACAGTTTCTCTCTCTAATCTTTGGTTCTCCTTTTGAAAACTTGCCCTCAGGTTTCTGTTAAGTAGGACAAGTTTCCATAAATGCTAGATATTTCATGACATACAGGCAATGGGCAACATAAAACCATACTGGCAAGTATGTGAGAAACATAAAAGAAGAAAAGGAATAAAAAAGAAGAAAAGAAAACCGAGCCAATACACAGCAAAATAAAATAGAGAAATTCAACAGAAGAAAGCCATTTGTAAAATAAATGTTTTCTCTTCAAATGGCTTAAGCAGCGGGAAGTTCCTTTCAAAAGCATTTAAATGTGATCTCTTAAATGTTACTCAAATGTTAGCTTCCAGTTAATAACGTCTAGTATTCGGAACAGGTTTCCCCACTTACTATCAAAAGAAATGGGAAAAAAAGAGTAAGTGCAGCTATCTTCTGGCTAACTTCCATGAACCCCTGAGATAATACTCATAGGCCAGAAATGGTCTCACTCCTTTCAGACTCCTAATCCTCAAAGTGCAGATAATTTCACCCAAAAGGAGAAGGGGAGTCTGTGAACTTTGGTGGGAGGAAGAGAGAGACGTGGATGCCAGTTTCTACTTATTGCTCTGATCTTTAAATTGCTCTTAATAATTATCTTCTGCCATAAAACAGGGAGCCGGGACTGTGGGCTGCTTGTCTGCCACCGAGACAACTCTATCTCTGAAATGCTGCCGCTTCCACCCCAAGACCGGGGCCTATTAGCCTCATTTATCTCCTCCCACCAGGGTGAAGGAGAAATCCAAGAGCTGGTTATTTCAACACCTGCTTTTTTATCTCCTTGCTCCTGCTGCAATCTTCAAAGATGGCTAATTCCTAGTTTGGACTTTCCCTGCCTTGGATGGCCAGGAGCAGGCGCCTGAAAGCGAGAGCTAATTATATCACACTTCTCTCAAAGAGCACTCAGGTAAAGGAGCTAAGGGGATTTCCAGTTCTCGGAGACGTGACTTCAAAACATGTCCAGCCTCCTCTTCCATTGCCAACAAGTCCATCTTCTTCTACCACAAGCGTGGTGCTTTCTGCTCTGTCTCTCCGAAAGAAGAACACAGCAACAGTTTTGGTGGATCAACACCAAAACTTCACCTACCAGTCTAGCATCAAATCTTTCACTTCCTACCTTGAGGCTTGAGCGTACACAACAAAGTACATGAAAATTCACACGCTACATATGCTCATATGTGAAAAGCAAGTGAATTAAACTGGAACTACAGTTGGCCCTCCACACTGATGGGGGTTAGGAGTGCAGGACCCCGCGGAAGTGGAAAAACCAGAAATATCTCTAGCCCTTCTAACCTTAACTCTTTGTAGTACAAATACTTCTTTCTCAATTATCCAAACAATGGCAAGCCGGTGTTACTTGAAGTCATAGTGTTCTTCTGTCAGATTCTAGTCTTTGTAAATAGCATTAGTTCCTATCTGAACTGTCTGCTTCTCTTAAGTCCCAATGACTGAGGGATTCAGCGGATTTCCACATGATACTTTCTGATCATGGGACCATTGTGTGATGTATGGCTGAAGTACATACAGGGAAGTGGTTCCTGTGTCTGGGATCTGGATGTGCAGCCTGTTTTAGACAACATACTTCCCAGAAACAGCAGGTCCAAAGCTTGTGGAGCAAGTGAAAGTGCAAATATATAGTTGCATGCACTGCATAATCCAGTTTGATCATTTGAGATCAAATTGGTTAGAACTGACTTTTGACATGTGTAGCTGTTTCATCAACAATGCCCCCTCCTGGAAAGAGATAGGGTACATCTGCAATGTACAATCAATGCAGTTTGGCACCATTTTAACTATGAAATCATGGGATTTATGACCCAGGAACGGCCCAAGACGATGGAACAGATAAGGACTTGAATGAGAGGATATAGTTTTTAGTTTTAATATTGTTATTATGCACTGTCTTATGTCTAATTGCAATATAATGGTTCTTTTGCTTATCAATGTATGTATTTTATGGCACCGAATTGTGCCGATTGTGTACGCCGCTCTGAGTCGCCTCCGGGCTGATATGAGCGGGGTAGAAATAATGCAAATAAATAAATAAATGTATAGTTATAAAGAGCTTTAGCCTGGCAGTTAAAATTGTGTCAAACCATATCCAATTCAACCATGTTGGTGCACCTCCTGATGTGATGAATGTCATGCATTGAAACTATCCTTGCAGCTGAGCTAAGGCTTCAGCTAGTATACCATCTGAAAGCCCAACTTATTGCATTATTACAAGTATGGATGCGTTTAAGAAAATGTTGTTTAAGACCAACTATTTTTTCATTTTCTCTAGGCTTCTTAAGAATAGGGAAATTGGAAGTGCTGCAATGTAAAATTTATTTATTTATTTATTTAAAACGTTTATATCCCAATCTTCCCAACCTCTGTAGAGGGATTCAGACCGTAGAGGGACTCAAATGCCACTCTAAAAAGTTTTGCCAACACTCACTCTGAGCCTGTCCTTGGGCAGTGCAACAGCTCCCTGCTTGATGATTTCCAGGACGCGCTCCACTGACAGTTCAGCCCCAGCTTGTTCAATCCGAGAGCTAAAGAAACTGATCACCTGCAAGAGAAAGGAAAAACAGTAGAAGCATGGGTTAGCTAAGCAATGCTCGTATGTCTGGCAATCTTATGCATTTCTTAAAAGCACCAAAAACCTTGGTAACAATCATAAATGATCGGTGATTATTATTTCTGCAATGTGTTGTCAGAGGCTTTCATAGCCGGGATCACTGGGTTGCTGTGAGTTTTCAAGGCTGTATGACCATGTTCCAGAAGCATTAACTCCTGACATTTCACCCACATCTATGGCAGGCATACTCAGAGGTTGAGAGGTCTGCTGGAAACTAGGCAAGTGAGGTTTATGTATCTGTGGAATGTCCAGGGTGAGAGAAAAAACTCTTGTCTGCTTGAGGCAAGTGTGAATGTTGCAACAATGACCTTGATTAGCATGTAATGGCCTTGCAACTACAAAGCTTGGCTGGTTGCTCTTTATTTACTGTCCTCGTTTCAACAGAAAGGATGAAACCGTGAACATGAAAATGAACAAAATCTGGCTACCAGTATTTAAAAAACTCTAAAATCAGGACAGTAAATAAAGGGCAACACTCAAAAAGCATGGACATTCCAGACAAGAATCAATCAGGGCCAGCTAACACCTCCCAACAAAGGAGTACCCCAGGCAGGAAGCAGTTAGGCTTTGAAGTTGCAAGGCCATTAAATGTAAATATGACCAATTGCAACATTCACACTTGCCTCAAGAAGACAAGAGTTATTTCTCCCACCCTGGACATTCCACAGATACATAAACCTCACTTGCCTAGTTTCTAACAGATCTCTGAACCTTTGAGGATGTCTGCCATAGATGTGGGCAAAACGTCAGGAGAGAATGCTTCTGGAACATGGCCATAAAGCTACTGTTTCTGCAACCTTTGTGCCTTTCCGATATAAGAAATGTCTATGAAATTATTGGAGCCATCATATGCTGACTAGCGATTTGAAGGAACACACACACACACACACACACACGTTCAATCGTCAAATTGATGCTAGAGTGAAGGTAAAATTTAGCATTCACATTTCAAAGAGATCACATAGGGAATTCAAGCATCGGCCTTTGCAAATCTACCCATTACTTGAATATGCTGTGGCTGTGATCCAAGAATGTATATAGACCTATCAAAAAAAAGGTGGTGGTATGCCAAACTGGGGAGGCTGAAAGACGAGTAAAAGTTATCTGAATGCCTGGCAGATGTGATCGCAGAGCTGGGCCGGAGCCACAAAGCATAATCGCACAGTCCTCTACATTTGTTCAAGATCAACCATATCACTCTTTAACTTCACTACACACAACCTCCTCCTCCTCCAACACATAAGATCTATACATAGTGTGTCCTTTTGGTAATCAGCTCACTACTACCACATAAAGATCTGTTTCCTACCATAGAAATATAGTAATTGTAGGTTGTTGTAGGTTTTTTGGGCTGTGTGGCCCATGATCTGTCAACGGAAAAACCACCTTCATCCAAGACCTAATTTTGGATGAGCGGGCAGATCTGGCGTGCATCACGGAGACCTGGTTGGATGAGGCTGGGGGGGTGAATCTCACCCAGCTCTGCCCGCCAGGTTTCTCCGTGCAGCACCAACCAAGATCCGGAGGGCGGGGAGGCGGGGTTGCAGTGGTCTATAGAGATTCCATCCCTCTGACCAGGGGCCCCATCCCGCAGACTACAAATTTTGAAGGCGTCTACCTGAGAGTGGGTGACCGGGACAGAATAGGGATTCTGTTAGTGTACCGTCCACCTCGCTGCACTACAGTCTCCCTACCTGAGCTAGCGGGGGTGGTCTCGAGCCTGGCATTGGAGTCCCGGCAGCTCCTTGTGCTGGGGGACTTCAATGTCCACGCCGAGACGGCCCTTTCTGGAGCAGCTCAGGACTTCATGTCTGCCATGGCAACCATGGGGCTGTCCCAACAAGTAACTGGCCCCACTCACAGTGCTGGACATACATTGGACTTGGTTTTCTGCCAGGGATGGGAGGAAGGTGGTGGTGTTGAGGAGTTGACCATCTCTCCGTTGCCATGGACCGACCACTACCTGGTCAGATTTAGGCTCACTGCACCCCCTAACCTCTGCAGAGGTGGAGGACCCATTAAGTTGGTCCGCCCCAGGAGGCTTATGGATCCGGATGGATTCCTGATGGCTCTTGGGGAGTTTCCCGCCGCCTCGGTCGGTGATCCTGTCGAGGCCCTGGTCACTCTCTGGAGGGAGATGACTAGGGCAATTGACACGATCGCTCCAGAACGTCCCCTCTCAAGTAGCCGAGCTAAACCAGCTCCTTGGTTTACGAGGAGCTGGCAGTGATGAAGCGAAGGAAGAGGGAACTAGAGAGCGTGTGGCGTTCGGACCCGAGCGAGCCAAATCGAACACGGTTTGTGTCCTTTCTGAGGGCATATGCCGCGGCAATAAAAGCCGCAAAGAAGGCTTTCTTTGCGGCCACTATTGCGTCTGCAAAGAACCGTCCGGCTGAGTTGTTTCGAATTGTCAGAGGTCTTTTGAATCCCACCACACAAGGTGGGATCCCTGACAACTCGACATCTCGCTGTGAAGCTTTTGCTCGGTTCTTCGCAGACAAAGTCGCTTTGATCCGTTCTGGTCTGGACACCATGTTAAATGCAGTCTCTGTGGATGTAGCAAGAGCACCTGCTTGTCCTATTTTGATGGATTCATTTCAATTGGTGAAGCCCGAGGATGTGGACAAGATACTTGGAGGAATGAGGCCAACCACGTCCATCCTAGACCCCTGCCCATCCTGGCTTCTAAAGGAGGCCAGAGGGGGATTGGCTGAGTGGGTGGAGGTGGTGGTTAATGCCTCCTTTCGGGAAGGCAAAATTCCAGTGAGCTTAAAGCAAGCTATAATAAAACCGCTGTTGAAGAAACCATCACTAGATCCCACTAAATTTGACAACTTTCAGCCAGTTTCCAATCTCCCCTTTTTGGGCAAAGTCCTGGAAAGCGTGGTGGCCTCACAACTCCAGGTATTCTTGAGAGACACGGATTATCTAGACTCGGCACAGTCTGGTTTCAGACCGGGACATGGAACTGAGACAGTCTTGGTCGCCTTAGTGGATGATCTGCGCCGGGAGCTCGACAGGGGGAGTGTGTCCCTGTTGGTGCTTCTGGACCTCTCAGCGGCCTTCGATACCGTCGACCACGGTATCCTTCTGGGGCGCCTTGTGGAAATGGGTCTCGGAGGCACTGTTTTGCAGTGGCTCCGGTCATTTCTGGAGGGTCGTTCCCAGAAGGTGTTATTGGGGGACACCTGTTCATCCCCACAACCGTTGTCTTGTGGGGTTCCTCAGGGTTCTATCCTGTCTCCCATGCTGTTTAACATCTACATGAAGCCGCTGGGGGAGATCATCCGGAGTTTCGGGGTACGGTGTCATCTGTACGCAGATGATGTCCAACTCTGTCACTCCTTCCCACCTGCTACTAAGGAGGCTGTTCAGGTCCTGAACCGGTGCTTGGCCGCTGTGACGGTCTGGATGAGGGCGAACAAATTGAAATTGAATCCAGACAAGACAGAGGTACTCCTGGTCAGTCGCAAGGCCGAACAGGGCATAGGGTTACAGCCTGTGTTGGATGGGGTCGCACTCCCCTTGAAGGCGCAGGTTCGCAGCTTGGGTGTGATCCTGGATTCATCGTTGAGCCTGGATCCCCAGGTTTCAGCGGTGACCAGGGGAGCATTTGCACAGCTCAGGCTCATGCGCCAGCTGCGCCCGTACCTCGGGAAGTCTGACTTGGCCACGGTAGTACACGCTCTGGTCACATCCCGCCTAGACTACTGCAACGCTCTCTACGTGGGGCTGCCCTTGAAGACGGCCCGGAAGCTGCAACTAGTCCAACGCGCGGCAGCCATGATTCTAACAGGAGCGGAGCGCAGGGAGCACACAACCCCCCTGTTGCACCAGCTCCACTGGCTGCCGGTTTGCTACCGGGCCCAATTCAAGGTGTTGGTACTGGCCTATAAAGCCCTAAACGGTTCCGGCCCAAGATGCCTATCTGACCGCATCTCGGCCTATGAACCCACCCGAACTTTGAGATCTTCCGGGGAGGCCCTGCTCTCGATCCCGCCGGCCTCTCAAGCACGGCTGGCGGGGACGAGGGATAGGGCCTTCTCGGTGGTGGCTCCTCGGCTGTGGAACGCCCTTCCTGTAGACGTTAGGCTGGCACCATCGCTCATGACATTCCGTAGAAAGCTCAAGACCTGGATGTTTGTGCAGGCGTTTGAGTAATTCAGTGCAAGTGTGGTAATGTGAACATAGGAACGGAACAATGACGACGAATTTGGATCACGTTTGGATGATGAGGCGATCGGGGGGATGGGATTTGTGATAATTGTGTATTGTTGATTGCTTATTGGTTATTATTGGAACTGTGTAATTTAACTGTTTTGTATATTGATTATTGCTGTTTTTATTGTCTTTGCTGTTTGGAAACCGCTGTGAGTCGCCCTCGGGCTTGAGATACAGCGGTATACAAGAATAGTAAATAAATAAATAATAAATAAAATGTTCTAGAGGCATTCTCTCCTGACTCTTCGCCTGCATCTATGACAAGAATCCTCAGAGATAGTGAGGTCTGTTGGAACTAGGAAAATTGGTTTATATATCTGTGGAATGGCTAGGGTGGGACAAAGAACTCTTATCTGTTAGAGCTAGGTATGAATGTTTCAACTGACCACCTTGATTAGCATTTGATGGCCTGGCAGTTGTTTGGTGTGGCTTGTTAGTGCCTGGAGCAAACTTTTGTTGATATAGTAATTTTATATCAGAGTTTTCTTGACAAGGTTGGTCAGAGGAAAGTTTTGCCTTCCTCTGAGGCACAGAGTATGTGAATTGCCCTCTGTCACTCAATGGGTTTCCATGACTGATTGGGGATTTCAACTTGGTCTCCAGTTCTAGTCCAAGGCTCAAACCATTGCACCACACTGGTTCTTTTTCTTCCCCAACATCTCTTCCTGAAGCATTTGCACTGGTAGCAGATGTACATGTACTCACCTTGG